GGGGGGTTCTGTGCCAGCTGGCAGGGGATGCCTGGTCCTGTCCCAGCGAGGGGTGGGAGCGAACGGCCTAAGCCAGGACTCCCCAGTTCTGTTCCTAGCTCTCCCCACGTGGCTTGGCATCCAGGGAGCTGCCAGCTCCTGGCCTGAGGCATTGATACATCTGCCGGGAATGAGGGCTGTAAGCCATGAGTCCACTCTCTGATAAGCATATGCTTGTCAGATAGTAGACTAGTGACTCCAGTACTCTCCCCCCTGCCCTTTGTTACTTCAGAGTGGCAGGAGCCAGTGATGCGGGGAGCTGGCTTAAAAGCTGGTCCTCCCCTCCCCAGCATCATCTCCACAGCAGGGGGGGAAGGCTGAAGCATGGAGGGACCAGGCGTTAATCCTGCAGTGGCTCGTCAGTTGTTCCCTCCCCTCCCCTGCCGCCAATCGACTAGTCAATTAGTGGATTAAACACAGTTCAACATCCCTAGTGGGAACCCCACCCCAGTAGCACTTGGAGGCCAGGCTGAGGTTACCTAGGGCAGGCAGTAGGCCCATGGAGTAACTGCTGGGCTGAGCAGGAGATCTGTGGCTGCTTACCTTGAAATGCTGTAAAGGGCTTCGGCCAGTGTTTCTCCATGGATCCACTCAGCTGCCAACAGGCGGCAACTGGGGTCTGTTTATTTTCCAGCGCTGCAGCCATGGTAGCTCCCATTGGTTGTGGTTCCCCATTTGATGCCAAGGGAAGCAGTGTGGCCTGGGCCGCTGCTTCCTGCAGCTCCCTTTGATGCAAATGGCAAACCACAGCCAATGGGAGCCACCAGGCTCTGTAGCTGCAGCGCCGGTAAATAAATAAACCTGAGCTGCCTGTTGGCAGCTTAGAGTGGATCCAGGTCACACTTGGAGAAACTGGCTTGGGAGGATCCAGCTTGCTTCCCCTAGCTCTGAGACACCAGGTTTCTCTACGCAGACCATTAATCCTTGGGGACCGTGGCAGCTGCTCCAGGAGCCAGGCCCCGCAGTGGTTCTGGGGCCCCAACTCAGCTGTTGTCTTGCATCAGTTGCCCCAGAAGTACAGTGTGGAACGGCTGATGAAAGCCCGTGGAGTTTCTCTGCGGGTTTCCTAGGAAGCTTGGTTCTGCATTGCTCCTTTAACTGGCCAGAGGGCCCCGCAGGGGGGACACTGGAAGGAGATGAGGGGGGTGTCTTGTCATGCAAGCAATCCAGCTGGAAAGCATTAAGCATTGGGGGCGTGTAGCTTTTGAGGTGCCCCTGCTTCATATAGCTTCTCTGCCCAGGCTCCCAGTCCGGCTTGCCCTGAGGCCAGAGCTGATCTAGGACCAAGAGAATCTACCGCGTAGCTTTCGCTGCCAGCAGAAATGCCTGTGGCGTCTGCACTTCCAGCTCTGGGGAGGAGATCCTGGCTCTGCCCCAGCAGTGGGATGGGAGCAGCCAGCTGGGAGAGGGCCTCAGCTGGGTGCGGCAGGGTTGGCTCTTCACTTGGAACTTCCTGTAACTTCAGAGGCTAAAAATGACTGGAGGCAGGAGCAGCAGTTCCTTGAGGGGATGGGTCCTGGGGACACACTGAGCTGGAGAGCAGGCAGCAATCTCACTCCCTCCTCCCCCCATGGGGGGCAGTTCTGGGGTCACACGCTCTGCCCCTGCTCATGCTGCCTGGTTCTGGCTCTAGGGGGGTTGGCTAACCCACTGCCTTCCCTGAGTCCACCTTTGCTTTCCCCCCACAGTATTCTAGAAGGAAGTGCGTCTTCATACATCACCACACGTGAGAGCAGGTAAGACCAGGCCCCTTGCCACTGCATGTGGGGATGGGACCCAGCCAGGATGGGTGCCTGGCCAGAGACAGTCCCCTCCCCACAGCTCCCTCTCCAGGGAAGGGGAGCTTTCCCACTGGCCTGGACAGCCCGCTCTTAGCCTGGCTGCACTATACGCTGGCAGGCTAGATGGGATGCCTGGGAGGCAGCCCTCCCCAGGGTCATGTGCCCTTGCCTGACCACAGCTGGCCCCACCTAGCATGACTGGGGGGGTGGTATCAGCCCTCAAAGCTGCTGGGGTGGCCCCTCAGCTCTTCCCACAGCAGCTGGCTTAGTTCTTGCTGGGCTGCTGCAGGGAGCCTCCTGCTAATCCCTTTTTTTCCAGGGAGACTTTCTGGCCCAGACGTGACCATGGCAGCGGAGCCCGTGTCCGCCTCCCTGCCCAGCTGGGAGCTGGAGGCCTGGTACGAGGACCTGCAGGAGGTGCTGTCCTCAGATGAGCATGGGGGGCCAGGCCTGCCCCCTGGGGGAGTGGAACAGGTGAGCGAGGGGGCAAGCAGGGGCCACTAGCCCAGCTTGCCCCTTAGCTTCACTGACACAGCCGCTCTCCACAGAAGGACCTTGCCACACTTGATGCCACAGCGCTGCTCTGGGGCCTGGATCCCCCCGGTCCCCTGGTGGAGCCGACGGAGGACGCCCCTGGGAGCTGCGAGTTGGAGAGCAGCTTGACGGCAGAGCTGCTGGAGCTCCTGAGCGGAACAGCCGAGGGGCTGGCTGGGGTCCCCGAGTCGTCAGCCCCAGACTCCAGCCCCAGGACCCCTGGTCAGACCTTGCAGGAGGGGGAAAGGGGAGGGGGAGCAGCCAGCCCCAGGGGCAGGGCAGGAAGCGGAGCCGGGAAGAGCAGAGCGAGAGGAGGGTGACGGAGCTGCTGGCCGAGAACGAGCGGCTCAAGCAGGAGATCGAGCGGCTGAGTGTGGAGGTGGAGGCCACGCGGGCAGCGCTGATCGAGCGCATGGTGAACCTGCGGAAGGCGTAGGGCTGAACCCAGCCACAGGGGCGACGAGGCCCCGGTGCTGACTGAGCCGGGCCGCTTGCCGAGAGCCAGTGGCCGGGCC